GACAGCCCCGGAGGTGATCCTGACCTGGCCCGGAGCACAGGGAGGGGTCCTGGCAAGGAGCACGTTGGGCACAGTCAGAGAGCTGAGCTGTGACAGAGCAGTGCTGGTGCCTCTCTCAAGGGATTGGAATCTCAGAACTTGTGTGTGAGATGTTCCCCTGCCATGTCTCTGGCAGCCAGAGAGCAAAGGAGCTGCAGGGAGATCAGTGATTGCAGCAAAACCAGCTAATTTCTGTGATCACAGGTATTTTCTGCGTTGTCCTGATTTTTGTGCATCCCTTTAACTGACAGGACTTCACAAATTTTCACAAGTGGAAGTTCCCTCTGAGAAAAGCCAAAACCCTGCTGACTACTGCAGGAAGAGCCTGACCTGCTTCATTTAAACCATTTGTTTTGCCCATTTTGCTTCTACAGCCCTCAGAATTCACTCAGACTGAGGTACCAGCTGTGCATTGTTGCCTCTGCCAGACATTACAAACAATACAAACAAAACCACAGTGTCAGAGGAGTTTTTGATTTCTGGGTAAAAGCTGATGCCCTGAGCAGGGATTGCCATGTCTTCTTGTCCTCCTGTTCCCATTCTTCTCACATACTTCCTGTGGGAATTGGGTTGATATGGATGTTGAACACAACTCTTTATAGGCTGTTAGTGCTGAAGTTAATTACAGCAGTTTTTGGTTCTTACATAGCCCTGGTACAGCTGTGATAGAAAAATTAGTTACATTTCCTAATCCTAAATTTTGAAACATGGTGGTTTCACACAGTCACTAAAATCCAAGACTCCCTGCTGTTACCTATGGCTCCTTTGACAGCTCCATCTAATAATTGTTCTGTGTTATTGAGGGGTAGAGCCTTCCTCATTTTTGTTACCTACTAAGGTATACGTGAGTAAAATTAGCAAAAATTTTTCCATGTGAGGAAGAAGCTATCTGGTTGTACTTGGGATAGTTAAACAAAGTACTTAATTTAATTTATTCCACCAGGCAAAGTGAGTGGCCATAACCACCAAAGGGTCAGGTTTGCAACTGTGATTCCTTTAATGAGGTTGGGGAAAGTACTTATTTTTCAGCCACAGTTTGTTGCAGGCAGTTGCATTCATTGACTTAAGGGATTTCATCTCTCAGTGTTTAGGCCTTTTTGGGTCTACACAAACAGACTTTTCTGTTATTTAGAAACCTTTTTCCCATTGACCAGTTCCCACCTGAAGTACTGGGATTTGTTAAAACTCAGTAAACTATTGAATAAAAAACATCAGCAATTGCTAGAAGTATTTTTAAAGAAGATATATGTTTCAGTAATATCTGTGGATGTGAATAAACAGGGATATTCAGATAAAATTAAAAGAAGACATGATCTGGATTACCAGGAAAATTGATGTAGGCAATTAATTTAAGACATGTAAAACTAGATTAAACAAATGCTAGGAATTAGTTCTATGAAGCATTCTTGTGAAGACAGAAGAGTTTGGCTATGTGGTGAATTGTATAGATTTTCCTACATATCTAAATTTCTGTATGTATTTTTTACCCATAGATCTCTGCTAGTTCCATGTGAACTCATTTATATTGGTCTGGTCTGAGTTGCACATAAATAAATTCATTTGAATTTCTTACTCTGTGTTTATTCAAATGCTCTCCTAAAATAAAACGATTTACTTGTGAGGCTGCAGTGAGACAGTAGTGGTGAGATGAAGCCAGGTTTTATTCTGGTGGGAGAGCTGGTCTGTGTTGTTTTAGCTGTAGCTGTCTTTTTATTTTTTTTCTTTTACTTTCTGTCAGGGATGTGTTCCTTGTATTATACAAACACTGGTAATTTACGGCAAGTGCACTTTTAGCTTTCTGTTTCTCTGTGAATTTGAAGGACCTTAGTAAACAGATAAAATAACACGGTATGGAAGAGAGATGTCACTGTGTCCTGCATGGTGACCCAGCTGTGTCCTGTCATGACACAGAAGCAATGGGAGCAAAGCACAAGCTTTTTGCTCGTTGTTTAAATGTACTGTGGAATGAAAGAAAATGCCCCCAAAGGCACATTTTTCAAATGTGTTGTTCCATCTGATGTTCTCCACATCTCCCTCTTCAGCATTCATTCAAAAAACCAAAAACCCCCCAACAAAACCCGTCCTTTTTTTCAATTCAAACCATCAAATTAAAGCTGAAATTACACTAGGAGTCTTTAGAACTCATTTAATAACTTGGTGATTAAATAGTCCCATCCTTTAAGGGAAAAAAAAAAAGTTAGAGTGTTGAGGAATTAAAAATGTGTGGTATTTGTTTCTGTGTCTGGATTTCAGGAATTTGGGGAATAAACTGGCCTGTGTACAATTAGAAAAAAAAATCTTTGGTGTTCAGTGTAAAATCTTTGCCTGATTTTTAAATGGCCTTTCTAAAGTTACCACATGGATTTAAAATCCATTTTCTCATCAGTTGTGTGCCTGGGTGGAGCTGTCACTGACATGCATGGGGACACTGATCACGTCAGTGCCACTGTCATTGTGTGTAATTTCCACATTGAAGGTCTTTATGACTGTGATGTGACATTGACTGAGAGTAAGAGCAGTGATTTTCGCTGCTTTTTCACCGGCAGGTGAGAGATGGGAAACCATAGCTTTCAACACCAGCAAGGGGAGACTCAGCCTGTGGTATTTTCTGTGCCCAGAGACAAAAAAGGAACCTAAAAGGTCTGTTGTTTTTTATCTCGGGTGCCTTGGGAAGTGAGGGGTTCTAACATTAGAAACTCCGGTTGTGCTGACCGTTCTTCACTGAAAAGAACATCAGGGGTGGCTGGAAAATGTCATGGATTAAGGGCTTCAAAGATAGCACAAGAGCATCTCCACGACTGGAACCACAGGAAGCTTCCGGCAGGTGGAGAGAGCCTCTCTCAAACCATACTTTGCACAAATTGAGCTATATTGGATTAAATCTAAGTAACTGTTCCCATTTTCTTGCATAGAGACAACCTGAGAAATACTTCTAAGTGAGAACCTTTGGCAGTGACTCATCATCTACTGAGTGGTGAATAAAAGCATGTGCTTATTTCCATGTTCCCTTGGTGGGGGAAAAAAAAAACTTTTATTTATTCATCATAACAACATCAAGAGAACAAAGCTTCTTTTCTTTGAAGGTCACTTGTAACAGTAATGCAAAAACAAACAGTAATATTAACCCTTCACATTATTTCTGCGCCACAATTAATCACAAAATACTGGTAACACTACAGAAAAACTTCCCTTTTCAAGACACTTGCCATTTTCCTCCATTGTCCAAGTATTTTGTGGAAAAATTACTCTTTCAGTTAAGGGAGAAATAGTCTCATATACATAATTAATTTTAAAATCAAAACAGCATCAATTGGGTTTTATACCCTCAGCACAAATACCAGTTAGAACACCTGGTGATGGTAGATTTCTTCTAAAAAAGGACTTGTATGTTTTTAAAGATCCATTTTCCATTGCAAGTATTTAATTTCATTATGAGATGAAGAAATGACAAATTGCCATTTCCATTTTTAATGCCGTGAAAACATTTGAAAAATATATTGTGTGTAGGGACCAATTTGTACCCAGTTAATACTGACATACTCTGTTCCATGTAATTTCTCTGTCATAGAAAGATTTCCACATAATCCCTGCTTCTATCTGATGTACACAGGGGCTGATCCGACAACATCTGAAGGAAAAGGCAGAACTTGAATGGCAACAAATACTCCGAAAAAGATATTTACACAGAGTGTGTTTATCATCCCCTTTGAATTGTTTATGTTTATCATCCCCTTTAAATTGTTTTTATCATCCCCTTTAAATTGTTTCATGTTTATCATCCCCTTTAAATTATCATATACTAAGTGCAAAGCTAAATAACATCACAGTTATTTGTTAGGCAATGTCAGATTTGGTGAACTTTGACTGAAGCTGCAAGCAGACATAGTACTGACTGAGCATTTTCAGAAAAAAAGTATTTCAGTATACTGAAATTCACATTACACAGACACAATTTCAGTACAACTACTTTCTGTAAACTATGACAACATAGAACACATTCACTTTTTCTCAATATTTAGAAGATGAGATCTAAAATGCTAAATGCCGTCCAGTATCTATGGTATGCACACAAAGACAGAACCATGTTTGGAATTGTAGAACACTAAAGGAAAGCAAAGAAAGATGGATTTTTAGATAGATATGATAAAAAATATGCAGTAGCTTACAGTCTGCAGAGGAGTGTTTTCTACCCTTAAGACATTCAGTCCTCTGCTTCAAATTAGGCAAAATGTGAATTTCCATCTTCCAGGTGAGTTTTGTCATTAAAACCACAGAACAGTTTGGGTTGGAAGGGGCCTTAAAGCCCATCTCGTTCCAACCCCCTTGCCATAGGTAGGGACACCTTCCAGTAGACCAGGTTGCTCTGAACCCTGTCCAACCTGGCCCTGGACAGTTCCAGGGATGGATATTCTGGGCAACTTGTGCCAAGGCCTCCCCACGCCTGGAATGTCTTTTTTTAGGTCTGTCTGAGCAGGAGGACAGAGCTTTTCCCTGCTCCCAAACCTGTGTGTGAAGTGCCCTTGCTGAAGAACACTTGATGTGCCCCACCATCTGTACCCTGGTTGAAAAGGGCTGTGACTGGGGCCAAAGAGCTCCTGCATGACCTGGAGATCTCTTTTGGGGGGAGTCCAGAACTGCAGACAGTGATAGACTCTTGTTTAGATATAGGCTCTGCCTCCCCCACCCTTCTTTTCTGAGGAGCAGATTCCAGCAGGCCAGAACCTTGAGCAGCCCCAGGTGGCTGAGACACCTCGTTGACAGTGTGAGCAATTAGTTTCTTTGTGTCACACTCAGGGCTCATTGTGCTCCCTGTAGGCTCCTGACAGGGCTGGCTGGCTTTGTGTGCTGGCCTGCAGCACCCCAGAGCTGTGCACCACCTGCCCCAGGGCCAGCTAGGCATCTGAAACGTGCTCCCAGTCTTTAGCTGGAATTCCCTGGGCAGCACAGCTCTGCAATATTAACTATTTACATGGAGTGAAGTCATAGAAGCAGGAGACATTGACTGTGTACACCTGCCCCTGCACACTGATGTGTCTGAGTTTTTTGGGTATTGTACAACCTGGACAGTCAGGCTGGTGTCCAGCATCACAGTCAACTGTTTCAGGTTCCCAAACTCCATGTGTATGACCTCTGTTGGAGCAAAAAGAGTACATGTTTGGCAAAATCTAGGAGTCATATTTACAACGTACAATTACAACTGCAGTGCTTAAGAGGCATTGTGGGTTCAGTCTGTCACAGGTAAGTTGAAAATCTTAGAAAACCAGGAAAATAAATATTCCTCAGTTTGCAGAAAGCAGCCTCATTCATTAATTATGTCTTCATGTAGTCTTTAAGCTGTTCGACTCATCCCAAGGCACAGAGCTTTACATCACAAACCCGCTCTACTTTGTGATATGCACCATTACAATCAGGGAGTGCAGTGAATATTTACATATCAAAGAGTTTGTAGCCCCTTATCCCCCATGAAAGATTCAGTAATTGCTTAACCTGCTCAGACTGTAATCTGCTCATACGGCCTCCTGCGCAGCAGATTGGTGTTTTTGGTCATCCTAGGAAAAGCAGGTGCTGCTGGCCCTAACTGTGTTTGCCCACAAGAAATCATCCCAGAAACTGTGTTTATGACAGTGATCTCTTGAACTGGGGGGCAAGGGTTCACACTCAGGGGTGGCAGAAAATCTGGCCTTGTCTGATCCAATGCTAAGGCTCCTGACCCTTGTCCTTCTGGGAAAGCCTGATTTCTGCCTTTCACAGTAACAGAAGGCATTTTCTCCAGAACTTCTCTAGAACTTGGTAACAAGGAGTGAGATGGAGAAATAATCTCTTTCTTTCCTATTGCTGACTTACTGGCTTCTGCAGCAGCAGCAGGACTTAGACCAGCAATTAACTGAGAATCAGAACTGTTGTGATCTGTTTTTGCATTTTTGTTCCTGAAAAAACCGCTGAGGTTTGAAATTAAGCTGATTTGTCCCAGACTGACACTCTGACCCATGGGAATCACACTGGGGTTATGTTTCTCTTCAACAAAAGGAGTCTGATAGTTTATCTTGTCAGGTGGTGGTTTCCTGGACCCAGTTTCATCAGAGGTTTTGAATACATGAGCAGCATCTTTCCTGTCAATACTTTGGGGACTGGTGTTGACTCTCTTTGATAAGCCAAGGCCACCGACTTTAGAAGAGAGCTTTTCTATGGGAGTGATACTCTGAAGTTCCTGTGAAGAAGCAATTTTCCTCTGGTGAAACACTGCTGGGCAGCACTTTACCCGAGGCTCACACTCCAGCTGCTGCACATGGGTCAGCTTGAACCGGGCCTGTATCGGGCTGGGTTTCATCATCAGTGACCCTGTTTGAGATAAGCTGTCCTCCTCCCGTGGAGGATACAGCTCTCTGAAGCTGAATGGTCCCTCTGGAATCTCACTGGGTTCTATTTCTGATGGGGAGGTGCAAGCAGTTGGGTACTGACACTCCCCAAGCTCTGGGGGAGGCATGTTCAGGTACTGCCTAGTTTCCTGCCTCCCCGATGCAGATTTGTCCATGGTGATGATGATCACCTCTTTCCCTCGTGCCTTACAAGCGTTGAGCAGAACCTCTAGGGTCTCTCTGTCTGCAGAGTTTATTGCGTACACGAGAGCAGAGCAGTTGGAGTGGTCAGGCAGGCTTGGGTCAGCCCCACTCATGAGCAGCAGAGACACCACCTCTGGGCCCGCTCTGCCCAAGCATGCATGCATCAGGGCCGTCTTCCCAGATTTGTCCTGGATGTTCGGATCAGCCTTGTTGTCCAGCAGGTACTTAACCATCTTGGCCTTGCTGGCACTCTGCAGGTCCACGTGTTCAGTCATACAAGCAACCATGAGGGGGGTCTCCCCTCTGCTGTTGCTCTCATTGACATAGGCACCCCCATCGATCAACAGCCTGGTGAGGCGGAGGCGTCTCTGGTACACAGCTTTGATCAGGGAATACCCCTCTGGCGGCACCTCCACCACCTCCATCATCCTGCTCATCTCACCTACACCCTCCTAGGGGCTATAAAAGATCTGCCTTCCATAGAAAGCAAAGAGGTCCCCCAGAGAAGAGAAAACAGAAAAAAAAAAAAAAAAAAGAGAAGTTTTAGCTGTACAAATTGCTCCTGCAAACACCGTCATATTTTGAGAAAAGAGTATGAAGGGAAGAAGAAAAAAAAAAGTGTTCTCACCCTCCAGACTTCAAGAAATACATTAAAAACTTTAAAAAACACTTGAATATAAATACAACGTTTGTAGAAGGTTAGAGTATGGCTGTCACCTTTTTATTTCTGACAGTCTTTTGTACAATCCTCTGCCTGAGCAGACAGTATCAGCTCTACAACAAAAGAAATGTTTGACAGAAGGAAAGTAAATCAGGAGATTTCACACAAAAAAATTAAGAACTTAATGTGGCATAAATAACAAAAGGCCTTGTATGAATGTATACCTGCATACACGCAACTAACACTTCTTACATGTGCTTGCTTACCTATGTGTAGGGAAAACCTTCAGAGAAAAAAAAATCAGTATTTAACAACTGGCAGAGTAATTCCAATACAAGGGTAGACATGGATATGAAAATTACATTTGTTTATTTACAGTGTATTTCTAGAGAAGTAAATATGTTTAACTGCAAAGGAAATGAACAGAGACTCATTTTTATTCATCACTGAAAGCACTAGAAAAGTTTGGTGATTAACTGAAGATTAGTAAGTTCATTCTGTTTTACTTTGAATTCAAAAATCAAAATATGATCTCAATGTAGTTTGTTCCAAAACTCCAACAAGCAAAACTAAAAGCATCAGATTTCCTCCCTGGAAATCTGAGGAGAAAATCTGACTTTGACTGGTGGTTGGGCTTTTCCCCCTATGTCTTGATAAAACATTTTTTAAAGGTAATTGCACTGAAATTACTTTAAGGATTCACTCCATTATACTGAAATTACAGGATGCAGTACTGTCTATCTCAGCTTTCATTGAAGTGCAAATCATTGTTATGATTTTTATGTGTACTTTTGGCAAGTAACGTATACAAGATTTTTATAGTCTTTTCTAAAAGTATCCAGTCAATTTGTGCACTTAGGTTTCCAGAAACAAACTGCAGAGAAATATCTTGCACAGCACACGTGTTGGAATTCTGATTGTGTTCTGCCTTGGTTTTGACTTACCTGGAAGTCCTTAGTGTTTTTACATTTCTTTCCTATTTATCTAAAGCTCTTCTGACACTTAACTGCTCACATTACTTACGCAATGGCAAATAGCTCTTCTTACATAGGAAGAGCCTTTTCATCTGTGGAGATACCTTTTATGGCTAAAAGAACATTGAATGTTAAACAGGCATGGAAAGAGAATAATGCTACCTGAGGTCATGCAGCAGGTCAGTAATGAAGGTGAGGCTGTTTTTCTGACATCTCATCTAATGCCTCCTGTTGCTTAAATTTGCTGTTTCCATGGACTTTACCAGGACTGTTGATGTGAGTGAGGACTGCGTAAGGCTGGCCTAAGACAACAGCTGAAGTTTGAGAGTTAGGAGTAGATGGTGTTGCCAGGTACGAACCTGCCTGGAGAAAGCCTGAAATGTTTCTGTGCAGAGAAAAGTGCAAAAAGATACATGAAATGGGGGAAAAAAATCCACAAATACTTCAGAATCAGACACGATACGAACAATAGGAGGTGTTACAGATTCACAACAGGAACAATACAGTGCAGAGCATGTTCCTGAGTGCTGGATGACAACCACAACTTCATCTGGAGAATCTGTTAATCACGGGAGAGCACCTGGGGCTGTGTCATCCTAAATTTGTCACTGTGGGAACAAAGTGCAACTAGACTTTCACAGGACCCACACTGACTCTGGGAATACATGTGCCACACCTGGACTGGACCAAAAACCTCACAGCTCAAGTGAAAGACCACAGTCTAAGCAGACCTCCTAAAAGAGTAATTTCTGTGATAATACATCACAGAGGGGTGCTCAGCAGATTGCAATTATAAAACATTCCTAAATGTAATTAACTGCAATGTCAGAACGACTCCATGTGTTCCTAAAAGTAAACAGTCACTTCTCACCTGTGAAGATACACTTTAAAGGCAGTTTAAAGTTTTAAAGCAGTTTAAGGAATGAGGAACTATGCAACCCAGTGTGTGATATTGAATCATGGATTGGTCTTTCAGATAACCCAAAAATTCCTGTTGTCCTTGTAGAAATAATATTCCTGCAATGCTCTTTCTGTCTAGGAAGAGCTGAATTTTATTTTCAAAAAGTAATATTGTCCTGGAAAGTGCTCTGAGACAAAGTAGCTCAGGGTACCTCATAGCATGAAAACATGTTTTTGAATTTAACAGTCAAAATAATCACAACACTGAGAGAGGAAGGAGCCCATCCGTGTTAGAATGTATAGACAAATATAAAAATAACCAACAGTTTCATGAATGCGTGATATGAATGAAGGAGTTCTTGCAAAGTGCTCCTCACCTTTTCAATGTGAAAGCCCGATTTTCTGCCGTCTGTTCATCACCCTCAGAATTAATCAAGCTCTCACAGTTGTGTTTAGAGAGTCTAGAATCATTCCAGTAAAATTGCCATTGATTCTCATCTCTGAAAAAAGACTTGCTTACAGGCTTAAAGAGCATAAGCATCTAAATATTTCTGTGACTCTTCGCATCCACCTTAACCCTGGCAAATTCTCTCAGTCAGGGTGGCAAAAACTCTTTTTGTAGCTGAAATTTAGCAAATACGAATAACTTTGATTTAAAAAAAAATTACCGTTCCAACGCTGCCAAAGCTACTCCACCAACACCCTCCCCCGAAGTTGCCACCGCAACTTGTAACCCGAGGGCTCCAAACAATTCCCTGAGGGACAGCCGGTGAAAAGCAAGGAAACTACTTACGGAAAAGTGGCAGCACACGCTCTAACACCGCAAACACGATAAAGCTATTAAAATGGCTACAAAACAGCTATCCAACGCCGTACCCGCCATCCCGCCGCGCCGCCGGGGCAGCGCCGTTACCTCCGGTCGGGATGGAGCGGCCGCTCCTCGCGCAGCGCCGGGAGCGAGGGACAGCGGGACCTTCGGGAACACCGGGACATCGAGCGCCTCCCCCGGCACCGCCCTCGGTCCCGGGCGGGCACAGCCGGGT